CTTCGGCTTGAAAAAGAAGGCACAGCCTTCGAAACGCGTCGCCAGCACGAACCCAGGACCCACTGAGTGTTCCAAACACTCCATCTCCTCACCGAGCCTACATCCCTCGTTTTTGGGGCTCCGCCCCCTCAACATCTCAGCACCAGCATCGGAAGCCGACAGTTTTTGGACACATACACGCCGGACCGTCAGGAGGCCCCAGCGTGCATCCACCTCCGCCTCCCCTCCGGACCCTCCCTTCGAGCAGGCAGGTGACAACACCAAGGGACGTCGGAACACCGCGGCCGCCGCGCTACCCACCCTCCAGCACCGCGTCTCTTCCCAGCGTTGGGGCCTGCAGTTATCCAGCAAGACAGTCACGCCAGCACACATCCAGAGGATCATCCCACAGCCCTGTACCCAGGCATTACAGGAGCCCATCACCGTCGTTGAGAGCCAGCCTTCACTTTCCTTGCTCACCCACCTTATTTCAACTTGCTTTATTTGTGTTTACCTCTGCTCCATCTGGTTGGACCACCACATCACCTATCCTAAGAGCGAATGATCTACCCACCATAGGTAAGTACATCACTTACCCCTCTCATCAGACCTCACCACATTTATTGCGCCAGGTAGTGGCGCTTCCGTTCTCCAATTTTTGTTTCCTTTAGTACACCTGTTGGACACCACGGTCCGAACACCACGGAAGCTGCACACCCACAGAGCAATAAAGACGCTTCTATTTTTCTACAAAAATAACCCCCTACTCACACCCCCCCCTTCAAACTCTCCACATAAAAAATTCACCCACGCTCCAGTCACGAACGGGGTACCCACCAAGTACCACCGCTCACCCTACCTTTGCTGAGCGCCACATGTGGGGTAAAACTCTTTAAACTTCTCATTAATCTTTTATTGCAGGGTACTTTTGTTTAAAAAAATATGGTGACAGGTCCACTGTAGGAAAAGGGTTCTTCTTATAACCATAACTGTAAAGTGAAACCTGCTATGTAAACATGTGATGGATACTCTACAATTTATTTGACGAACGGGCCTAGGCAATTTTTAATCAAAATATACAAGCTTGTTTGAGGCTGGGCAATTGAAAGCAATAAACAGGCTAAATATATGGGAACACCCTGGGTTGTTCCTTACTAGTCAGCCTATTCATCACAAAAAGGGTAAGATTTAGTTTTCACAGACATTTTTGAAAGCAATAAATGCTACCAGGATCTTGTCTCTCTGCTCTATTCTTACCAATTAATCATTTGATTCTCTCACCTCCTCATATTTGCGATCTGCTTCCTCTGCAATATGTTTAGCTTCCTTGAGTTGCATTTCTTGAATTTCCATTTTTTCTTCATCCTTCATTGCTCTGTTCTCTATTACCTTCATACCTCTGAAAGGAGGAGGAACAAAATTATTAAGTAGTGAGGAGGTCTAAATCCAAACACATTATTGCGTTTAACACCACATTATACAAGCAGTACTGGTAAAGCTGAACTCCAAGCAAGCAAATGAATATACAATTAAAGTAAATGTCAAGAAAAAAAGAAAGAAAAAACAAAACAAATGCAGTACATATCTGCAATAGCTTTACATTTCTCCATGTTTTATCCCTCTACAGACCCTGCAAATCTCGAAGTGTGCTATTGCATTGCCATTCATTCTGAAATCGCACCTCAACGCACCTCCCGGCTGCTCTGCGTTGTGGCACAACATACCACAATACTATGCGTTGCTCCTGGGAGGTGTATTGGGGTGCCACCCTCCTTTATTACATCATATTACAAATGTAATAAAGTAGCTTATTACATTTGTAAAAATAAAGAAACCGGAAGAATACAATTTAAGTGGTTTCTCTCTCATTAGCAGGCATTTAAGTCAAATAAAGTAGGGTAAATGTACACATAGCATAGCTTAGCATTTGTAACATTATCAGCTACAGCAAGTGGGGAGCTTAAACAAGATATACATGGTTGTTAAATTTGGATAAAAAGTCACTTGGCTCAAAAGAGTTACATTTTAAGTTGCTGGTAAGATCCATTTATTATTGTCAATGGGTGGGGTTGATTCCACTTCACAACACTTGATTTCTTAGCATAATAAAAGCAGAAGACATAAGACATGCCAATGGTTGGGAAATGTGAATACATTTGAATAATGTGCGGTTGCCTGTTTATTTTGATTTTATGGCAGTCTCAAACAGCATGTAAATATTTATATGGCTGAGACTTCCATTCAAAGAAAATATAATTGTTAAATTTGCCCATGCTGAACAACCTTTGTGTGGTATTATATACTGTATATAGCTATTTAAACGGAACTAATTTATCTTTCAATGAGATTATTGTGTATGCTGCGGACAACCTTCGGACAAGGAGGTGCGGACAACATCCTCCATTTCCTCAAAGATCAAAGAGGGAATGGCTTATCTCTGCTTTCCCTAAAGTATATGGGTTAATATGTTTTTCTGACAAGTAAAATGCAAAAGGGAGACAGCAATGACAAGCACCCAAGTAAACACAAAGGGGCTGATTTATAGCTCTTCCGTCTAGCATATAGCTGGGCAAATGCCATTCGCACAGCGCTACCACCACTAGATGGATACAAGTAGCATAGGAAATTTCCATGCACCTCAGCACCATCTAGTGGTGGAAGTGCTATGCAATTGGCAATCGTCCAGCTACTGTATGTGCTAGATGAAAGATTTAGAAATCAGCCCTATAGGGAATTTAACTTCAGAATTTTACTATCAACGGATTCCAAATACATCTTACTGTTTGGAAAATAATGCTGACCCAATATTCCTCCATATTCCTGGATTGTTACACTCTCTGGTCAAAAGGGTTAAACAATGAACGTAACAAATAAAGTAAAACTTTTTTGGTGCATGGGGTATGTAAGTAATCATAGATTTTCCTCATATTGCTGAACATACATTTAAACATGTGCATATAATTCCATCCATATGGAACATTTATGGAATGCTGCCCTTTTGTGAAAACAATTATGCTGTTATGAGAAGTATAGAAAAGGTTTATTGCACTTCGCTTTCTGTGTCTGGGGAAGATGAAAGGGAGCACTTATACTGTATGATGGACAAGTGGGGAGGCCTCGACATTGCATTCAGATAAAATCTGTGGCGGTTTGTACTTACCATAAAATATTTTTCTTGGAGGCTTTTGAGGGTCACAGAAATTCAGAAACAGTTGGGTTATACTGCTGCTTACAGGAGGTTTAGGACACTGACAAACAGAAACATTGGCTGGACTCCTTTTCTTCAGCTGGACTGAGGAACATCTAACTAGTATTCAAATTTTTTTTTTTGCTTTCTGGGATTTATTTTTTCAGTGACTTCTATCAAGATTCTTCACCGACATTGCGGTTTGAACTGGTCTCTATATAGCATTTATACAGATGAGCGTTTTCTCAGCTTAGCTTTGGGAGGCTGGAAAGAGAAACCACATCGGAGGACTGGGAAATTAAAGTGACACTAAACTCAGGAGTTAAAAGCGAACTATGGGGTAAGTGTTTTTCCCCATAGTTCTCTTAGGTTAGAAAATTCCTCCTGTGACCCTAAAGCTCAGTATTTAGCAGGCTATTATACGCGATATACTGAGAGCGCACCAGCCGGGACAGATCCCGACAATACTTTAGAGATCCACCCATCTGCGTGAGTGACAGCTGGCTCTGCCCACCTAGAGGCAGAGCCAGCTGCGCCCGCCCCCTCCCCCATTCGTTCCTCCACTCAGCGCTGGAGGATAGGGGAGGGAGGAATCCCGGCGGGGGAACGGTGACTGACAGTCATCTCCCACTGCAGGGAGACGATCGGGAAGTGAGCAGATCAGCGGCATGTTTCTGCTCACTTCCCGATCGATAGAGTCGGCCTGTGACAGCTTCTTTGTCACAGGGCGGCTCTAACTATGAGGATGAGTGGAAATCACTCACCTCATAGTTCTCATTTAAATCTTAAAAATGCATTCATGTACCTTAACTATTAACAAAAATGTATCTTATTTGTGTGTCACTCAGCTGTAGATCCTCAAATCATCTCTGAATTGGTGCTGACACTGTCCTTCCTTCTGGAGGGTGGCTACTTTTGTTCCCCATGGTCCCTGTTTATGTTGTAAAGTAGCCACCACTCCAAGCTCGCTCCCGGGATGGACTACAAACTCAATACAAATGTGTAAACTAAACATGACATTGTAGTCCATCACATGAACTAGCTTGGAGTGGGGGCTACTTTACACCACACACAGGGACCATGGGGAACAAAAGTAGTCACCCTCCAGAAGGAAGGACAGTGTCAGCATGAATTCAGAGATGATTTGAGGATCTACAGCTGAATTATACACAAATAAGATACATTTTAATTAATTGTTAGGGTACGTGAATGCATTTGTAAGATTTAACGCTCGAGTTTAGTGTCACTTTAAAGTGTATGTAAAGGCAAATTTTCCTTTTTTAGTTTTGGATAGAGTAGGGAAGGTATAAGACTCATGTAAAGTTTTTTTGTTGTCTGTGTCTCTGCTGGGGAGATTGACCCCTCTATTTGTCCTGGTGATCGATGTGACAGAAAATGAGGAGAAATCCCAAAATTTTTAGTTGTCACCAGAGGACCAAGGGAAAACCTTTCAATGGGTACACATGTGACAGCTGTCTCTGAGGAGAATGCCATTCACTTTAGAGAGATTGCTTCTCATTTTCTGTTGAGTCCCCTGGACAGGAAATCTCCCCAGGAGAATACAGAGAGCAAAAAAATTACCTTATAGGGGTTTTTACCCTACTTTATCTAAACTAACAAAAAAACACTACAACACTATGCATACGCTATATTATAACATGCTGGATCATGCAAGTTCTTCTAGAACTGGAATCTCTTCACCACTGCAGAGATCAGCAGCATAGTCAGCAGGGGAAGTGAGTATTCAACGTTTCATTTATTGAGGGGGTCACTTTAAAGGAGAACTATGAGGCGAGTGCTTTTCACTCACCTCATAGTTCTAGCTGACCTGTGACAATAAGACTGTCACAGGTTGGCTCAGTAGATCGAGAGGTGAGCGAACACATACCGGCGTTTGCTCACCTCTCGATCTTGTCACAGCTCTCTGCCGTGACAGGGGAGGGGCTGGATTCCCCCCTCCCCGCTCCGATATGGAACGGACTGGGGAGGGGGCGGGTACAGCTGGCTCTGCCCCTAGATAGGCAGAGCCAGCTGTCAGTCACGCAGCTGGGCGGATCCCGGCACAATTGTCGGGATCCGCTTCAGCTGCGGCGTCCCAGTATACCGCGAGCTACAGCTCCCGGTATACTGAGCCTAGGGTGACGGGAGGACGCTAGTTTGTGTCCTCCCGTTACCCTAAGGAGAACCATGGGGAAAAGTCTTAACCCCATAGTTCTTTAAGTAAAACACATGCACCAACCAGGGCCAGCACAGCACTCTGTGTAGTGAGCACAAATGGGATCCGTCTAGTAACAGATTTGTGAGCAACAGAGACATATGGGAACTGCAGCTTTTTAATGGATCCCGTATTCTTATATATTGCACTGGTTGCTGAAAATACCAGAGAGGTTTAGTAATGTTTGCATTATTTACAATATCAGTCATGTTCTTGAGTGATTACTGACTGCAATAGAATTGAATAATGCTGTGTTGAGTGATGATCATGAGTGATTTATTATAATAGCAGATCAATTTCAGTTTCAACATTAACATGGTGATCATGGACTAAAATGATACTGAGCCATCCTGTGACTAATCATCCAGAGTTTGCATTCTCTATAGACCAGAGATTATTGAAAAATATTAATTGCATCCTTCCCGAAGTACTTCTTTATTTTAAATAATATTGTTTCCAATTTCGTAGTTCGAATGGTTTACAAGGATTCCTTTCCGACAGCGAACTGAAGAAAGTATAGAATCTCAATATGAACTAAAGACATTAAAAAGGTATCACAGTTTATTGCATATTCTGATCTTTTTTTGTTAGTTTGAATACTGCTATATATACACTGAGGGTACAATAACAGGTAATTGTGCTGGTCCGGACTGATAAATAGAGGGCTAGAATTCAGGGGCGTCCCGAGGCTGTGTGACACCTGGAGCGGTAACCTAGTGTCACCCCGCCGAGATGTCACTGCACATGCGTGACATCATCGCGCACGCGCAGCATTATTCTGATACCTGCCGGCGGCCATCTTGGTGATGGACGCCGGCAGCGAGAGGAGGGGACAGTCACCCGGTGGGATAAGGAATGCCGCCGGGTCCCCTCCTCTCTCCTGATATAGTCCATGACCGAGCGCCCGACTTTTCTGAGGGGGGTGACACCAAAATGACTGAGTCATTTTGGTGTCACCCCTCCATTGGTGTCACCCGGGTGCGGGCCGCACCCCCTTGTGACGCCACTGCTAGAATTTCTGGTTACAGCACACTTGTGCCACCACATTGTTATGTATATACTGCTTTTCTGTCAGATAATGCACCACTGTGTGCAGAAAATTGTTGCAATTACAAATGTGTAGGCATTCTCATGTTTATTTATTTTGTTTGTATTGGTATGACACATAAAAGTGGAGGGGAAAAAAAAAGCCAATTCTGACACATTCCAGGCAAAACTCCAAAAATGGACTGGACAAAATGATTGGCACCCTTAATTAATATTTAGTAGCGCTGCCCTTTGAAAAAATAACTGAAATCAATTGTTCCTGTAACCATGAGTTTCTTACACCTCTCTACAGGAATTTCGGACCACTCTTCTTTCGCCAACTTCTCCAGGTCTCTCAGATTGGAAGGGTTCCTTTTCCCAACTGCAGTTTTGAGATATCTCCACAGGTGCTCTATGGGATTCAGATCTGGACTCATTGCTGGCCAGTCCAGTACTCTCCGGCGCTTTGTCTGAAACCATTTCTGGGTGCTTTGGGTCACCTCTGACGGAGACCCAACTTTCTGACACTGGGCCCTACATTGCACCCCAGAATTCTTTGGTCGTCTTGAGATTTCATAATGCCATGCACACAGTCAAGACATCCAGTGCCTGAAGCAGCAAAGCAACCCCAAAACATCAGTGAACCTCCACCATGTGTGATTGAGGATTGTATTTTTTTTCTTTAAAGGCCTCATTTCTCTCTCTGAAAACAGTAGAGTGATGGGCTTTACCAAAAAGCTGTCATTTTGTTTTGTCTCTTCACAGCACATTCTCCCAAAAGGATTTTAGCTTCCTTAGGTAAGTTTTGGCAAACTCCAATCTGGCTTTTTTATGTTTCTATGTCAGCAGTGGGGTCCTCCTGGGTCTCCTACCATAGCGTCAGGGGCGTAACTAGAACTCACAAAATTTTGTATGGGGCCCCGTGATTTCTAGTTATACCCCTTGCAGAGCCCACTCGACATGCCACCTGAGGGTGACCCTGCAGAGCCCACCATAGACTCTCTATGGTGGGCTCTGCAGGTTCACCCTCAGGTTGGCTGGTCGCACTCCTTACCTCCTCCGTCGCCGGGCCCGCCTCCTTCTTCGTCACCGAGGCCGCCTCCTCCCCTGCTGCCGAGCACGGGCCCGCCTCCTCCTCCACTGCCGGTGACGTCAGAGGCTCGCGACGTTGATAGAACACCGGGTCCAGCCTGCTCCCCCGCTGCTGCTGGCTCTCATTGACTGTGGAGACGAACGCGCCGCTGCACAGATGATCTGAACAGCGGCGTGTTCGTCTTCAGACGCCAGTGAAAGCCAGCAGCAGAAGATCCCATAGCGACCCAGGCGGCCCGCACGGCATCTGGCCGGGCCCCACTGTGCCCCGGGCCCCATAGCGACCGCCTGGGTCGCTATGGTGATTGTTACGCCACTGCATAGCGTCGCTTTTCATTCAGATGGCGACGTATAATGCGAGCTGACACAGTTGTACCCTGTGTCTCAAGGTCAGCTTGAATTTGTCTGGAAGTTGATGGAGGGTCTTTATCCACCATTCCAACAATCCTGCGTTACAATCTTTGATCAATTGTTCTTTTTTGTCCACGTCCAGGGAGATTAGCTACAGTGCCATGGGCTGTAAACTTCTTGACAATGTTGTACACAGTGGACACAGGAACATTAAGATCTCTGGAGATGGACTTGTGACCTTGAGATTGTCCATGCTTTTCCACAAAAACTTGGAATGCAATTATTTCTTGCAATTTGGAGAAGAAGGTGCAAATAATTTTGTCCAGTCAATTTTTGTAGTTTTGCACGGAATGTGTCAGATTTGGCTTTTTTTTCCTCCACTTTTTTGTGTCATGCCAATGCAAACAAAAAAAAAATAAACATGAGAACACCTAAACATTTGTAATTGTAAGAATTTTCTGCGCTAACTGGTACATTATCTGACAGAAATGCAGGGGTGCCAATATTTTTGGCCATGACTATCCATCTATCCACACACATGCAATGTTTTGCTAAACAGCCAACCCAGATGTAAATGCAATGGCCTGTGTAGATACATTTTTATATTTACACCATCTATATAATAAGCAGGGTCTTCTTGGCTGTCATTGCTCTATATGTAGTGTATTCCCTGGCCAGTATAATGATTTCATGTCATTCTTAGGTTTAATATTGGGTCAGGAAAAATGACCGGATTCTTATCTCTATATGTGAGCCTTATATTAAAACCCAATAATGAAAAATCCAATACATTGCAGCTTATGAGTTCTTAGGTGTGGAGGATGCATTCGTTTTCTTTTTTAGGTCAAAAACATTTTCAGCAACTACAGAAAATAGCTCCTTGTATTTTCCTATGAAATCTAAAACAGAATGTTCTTCTTACCAAGCTTTACTCTGTATGTAAATAGAAATAAATGAGAGAAGGCCATGTTTCTAATTCAAATCAGGGTGACAACCATGGCATTGCATGGGTACAGTGGAGCAAGTGAGTAAAACGCAGGAATACAAGATGTAGATTAAAGGAAAGAATCCTGCAAAAAATAATTGCAGCTACCACATCTAAGGGCTGGTAAGCTGTAACATATAAGATTTTGTTTTTGGGTCTAGGTATGCTTTAAGAATAAATCAGCATAATCACAATAATAACAGCTAGCTAAAACGTAAACCCTGACAACATACACCCTAGAATATGACCAAATGACATCCTAGGGCTCACGCACACAGGCATATTAAAGTACCCCCATCTACGCTGCATAAGTCTGCAAAAGGCTGGCAGAAAAACCCTACATAAAATAAGTTTGGCGTGTAATCACTAGCGTTAAGACCCATATGCACATAAACTCTTCATACTGGAAACAATATTCATTTATCCAGCCACAAGAATACATTTATGAGCAAAAACATGCATAAATGATGCCAGTGAGCTCCTCCCCAAATGCCAGTTTGTGGCATTTTTTATAATGCCCCTTATTAGCTGCTCTAACGTGGATCTAAACACCACAGTATGCATGGACACATTGGCTGAAATAGAGATGCTTCTAAAAGCGGTGTTTTTCTCTGCCCGTTGTGTAAGGCTTTAAAACATATGGTGGCCTACCAGTCTCATCTATTGATCTAGTCTAATTTGCTTTCATTTTAAATCATTAAACATTAACAGTGTGTCTGCAAATGGTTAGCTGCCACTCGTTTCTGCATTCGTTTTCAGAAGCATGTAAATGCTAACTGCAGAAAAGGAAAATCCTACAAAGTTGTTCAGCTGTTAGGTGTTTGTTTTATTTTTGTTATTTACATAGAACCAGCAAATTCAGCAGTACTTCAGTAAGTAAGCGGACTTTGTAACCTAATGCTTGCAAAAAGAACACTATTGTCCCTACCACCAATACACGCAGTATCAACTTATACAAGTTGTATGCACAGTGTTTCAAGAAGCAACCTAACCCTGGACCTAAGCTCTAAAAGGTCACAGTGCTGACCACTGTTATGCCATTTACCTGACTTGCTGAACAGTTATACTATAAGCTGATGGTCGCTAAAGCTGGCATACTGACCTGGCCAGCTGGAAGCACTTTTGTAGGTCCGTATGCCATACGTCCTTGGCAGCGAAAGGGTTAAAGCCTATCTTTGGGAAAATTTAAACATTCCCTTTCAGTGGAGTAAACTACTCATTAATGGCTTGGGGTATCGTGTAAAAGGACTTTTAATTACCTGTCCTCTATTAGACATAATGACGTCAATGGGCCCCTGACCGTTTGAGTATAGGGGGACAGCAGAAGCTGTGGGCAGTGGTCTTGGAGCCTGTAGGAGCGGGGATAAGGTAAGTAAAGTCCTTTTACACACTACCCTAATACAAAAAGCAATTACCCGTTGTAGTGAGGGGGTAGCTCTACTGCAAGGGTAGCTTCTTTTTCTAGAGATAAGCTTTATTGTGATGGTGGTATTATAAAAGCACTTTGGCTTTGCTTGCTAGAAACAAGAAAAGTATCACACTCATGCCCAGGCTAGAAACATGTATCATATAAAGTATTTTCTAAATACCTCTCGCTCTCATCAGCTGCCTTTTCTGCTTCTTCCAGTTTCTGTAAAGCTGTAGCGAGACGTTCCTGAGCTCTATCCAACTCTTCTTCTACTAACTGGATACGCCGATTCAAGGCGGCTACTTCTCCTTCAGCCTGCAATACAGAAAAGAGAAAGCTCATTTTCCGAGATACAGAAAAGACAAAAAGCAAAAGATGTATACTTCCAGAATTTTACTCACACACCTAATATAGGTCACCACATAGCCTGGCATATCAAATGTACTGTATATTATTTAAGGGAGAAAATGGAAAAATTACTTCCAGAAAAAATAAAAAAAGTTCTCTCTCTCTCTCTGTATGTATGTATGTATGTATGTATGTATGTATGTATGTATGTATATATATATATAGAGACATACATACATACATACATACATACATAGAAAATGCACTTTAGTTTTACTTCGGGGAAGGGGGATAATATAGCAAATTAATTCATTAAAACCAAACTCCAAGCAAAGACAGCAGGTCCCCAGAACCTGGCTCCATAGACATTACTAAAAACCTGGCAGGGATTATAAATGATTATATATTATCAACTATAAAATGAAGGATTTTTTTATCCTGTAATACTATATGGGTTGTGTATATGCTACAATAACCATGCGAGCAAAATGTGGGTCGGGCCAGAACTGGGAATAAGAGTTAGAGAACATGCTTACAACATAAATAGAGCATATAAAACTCACATTGGGGTAGATTTACTAAAGGTATATGGGATACTCACTTTGCAAGAGAGTTTTCCCTTAGGTGAAATTTCACTTTGCAAAGAATACCCAATCGCGTGCAAGGAAAAAAAAAGATTTTGCCAGCACATAATTAGATGATGATGATGATGATGATGTCAGCAGAGCTTCACCTCATTCACATAAAGCTGGGTATGTACAGTTATATTTTCTTCGTTCAACCTGTGGGCTGAACGAAAATAACAGATTCCTCCATCAACGCTTATGAGCGCGGATGGAGGAATTCCCCGCTGTTTCTAATGTATTCGGACAACGGCAGCAGGCTTGGCGAGAATTTTACAACCTGCTCTTTCGATCAGCTGATCAAGGGATGCCAGGTGGAAGGGTGCCGACAGGTGTACCCACTGTGTGAATTTCAGCTGGTTCTTCAAGAACCGGATGAACTTCACACCGTGTATAACCTACTTAACAAAGTGCAAAGTGAACATACTATTTGTCTTCACTAAATCAACCCTAATGTGTCTAAACATTCCACTTTATATGAAATAAAAAAGGATCCAGGAGGTATGCAATTTTGTTGGTGGAATAGAGAGGGTCCATAGGCATTGGCAGGGGTTCAATTAAAAAAAAGGAAGTTTTCAAGCAAGAAAGCAGGTGGATATACTGTATGTGGCTAAAGCACAAACCAAAGTGATGATGCAGTTAGGACACGCTGGCCTGAGAGCACACTATTGAACTAATCTATACTAAGAGTGTTTTCTCACCGGTGGAGTCACTTGCGATGTGCAGACTTCATATATACACATTATATATATATATATATATATTTGTAATTATAGCTCCTTAAATGCCGTTTGTACCATGAACTGTGTCTTTTATGGTTAAGAATTATATCATTATATCAGCAAAGAGTGATTTGTTTTTCACATTACAATTTAAAGCTGAACTCCAGGATAAGCAAATATAATTGAAAAATCAGTCATGTGTATTGTTACTTCCATCTTGGTGGGCTTTGTGCATTTCTTCCAGATCTGTGCAGTAATCCAGTGTGAAAGTCTGTGCAGCAGCGTCCTATAATAAAGACCAGTCACTGCTGCTCTCTCTCCTTGTGCACGGTGACTAGTCTTTTCTCCGCCCCCTTCTGTAGTTTCTGCAGGTAGCCAGTAGTGGGTGGAGCCTACTGGCTCTGCTCTCTGCTCAGGGTATGCAAGGCACAGTGATGATCTCACGGACGTATACAAGATCTGTGTTTACAAAGGTATTTGTTGCACACAAAGTGGATGTATATCCTCTATGGCTAATAAGGAATTTAGTTAGGTGAAAGTTCTCAGAGTTCAGTTTTTAGTGAATTTGCAACCTTTGCAGCTTTTTAGACAATAGTGACCATCATTGTGGTATTTATATGTAAAAGTTAGTTCTTAAACTTTTTAGCACTGCACTTTTATAGACACATTCAAAAGATTATAACCCTACACACACAAAATATAACCCTACACACACACAAAAAAAAGTCTAGTCATGGACTTCATTTACAACCAAAAAGGCTGCAGTATGTAAATGGCTATGTTCTTGTTAAGCAAGCCGACATTAAATGAAAGCAGGGATTCACAAATGTGTGTATCGCAGCACTGAGTATTATTGAAGCCATTCCTTTGCTGGAAGATTGGATTACAAAAAGTTGCATGAAGGTTACACAGTGTATATAATATAACTGGCAAGACATGCAGGGCTGGACAATTGCCAGGAGCCCGGTAGGCAGTGCTCCTGCGGTGCCAAACCTTTGAGGCTTTATCTAGTTGTCTCCAATGCTAAAACAGACCATGCTGGCTCCTGGATTCCATATTAATGTATGAAATAAATGTGAAAAGCTGTGGAAGTAGAAGAGTAGAGCTGGGTATACGTCATGGGACTCCACCTTTTTCCCTTTGTACATTGTGGGCTCGGTGTGAAGGATTCTCCTTATAAGGTAAAAGGCCATATGGGAAGGCCGGGGACAGGGAAATGCCTGGCATGCCTGCACAGACTAGTTCCAGAGACTGATCTATACCATCCTTGCTAATAGCGTGAACTGCTGAATATCAACACATTACACATCTCGTGTGCCTTATAACTGATGAGAGAACATTTCATTCCCAACAGTCTGTACTACATTATACTTTGACTTGAAAAGAAAATATGCAAGAAAAGGATCGAGAGAGAGAGCCCGCAGTTAACATAACAAAGGGAAAAAAAAAACCTTGGGAGGCCAGCATATAGGTTGTCTCTATAGAAATCAATGATAGCATTCTTACTGGCTTTTACATTTACACCTTCGATCAGACACCAAAAAACAGAAAATATATTTCTCTTAATTGGTTTTATCATCACAATTATCCCTGATGAACTCTTTTCAAAAGGACGTACAAATTGAGATGCCTTTCTAGCCAGAAGCAGAGCAGAGCAGAGCCATTGTTAGCACAAGTAGGGGCAGCAGTGGCCAAACTCCAGCCCCTCCATCTGTGCTGAAACTACAATTCCCATAATGTAGCTGGTCTCTGGCAGTTATGCATGCGACTGTGAGAATCTTGCAATGCCTCATGGGATATGTAGTTCCACAACAGCTGGAGGGCCACAGTGTGCCCACCCCTGCTCTAAGGCTCCATTCACACAAGGCATTCTGGCACTCCTATGGCATGAACCTATTATTATTATACAGGATTTATATAGCACCAACAGCTTGCACGGTGCTTTAAAATATAAGCATGACGTTACAATCACAATACAATTCAAGACAAAATGCTAAGGAGGGCCCTGCCCCTGAGGGCTTACAATCTAAAAAGGGATTTACCTATGGATTCTTGTAGCAGGAATGCCAGGTGTCCCGTTCAGATACATAACTTGGACCCATCTATCCTGCGTCCAGGGACAGTGATCTATTCCAAACCGCATGGAATCGTATCATGTACAATTAGATACGGACTGCCGCTTAGACATGTGGCCACTGTCACCCGGTCATTTACTTGAATGGGTACAGCGACCAAATCTGAATGAAACACCTGGGATTCCTGCCTCAGGACCCCTATAGTGTGAATGGGGCCCAAGACAACTTTATACATGTATGATAGGAGTGTACATTTTCAAAAAACTTTTAGTGGACAGCCTTTTCCCACTCAGATTGTTATGTAACGTTAGATCGCTACTTAAAGTACACGTGTACCCTTACACAAAAACTCAGAGGAAAAAATGATAAAAACTGGAGTAGACAGAATCTGGAGCAGTTGCTCCTGGTAACCAATCAGCCTCTTTCTTGAAGTGCTTGCAACTTTTTTGCAGATCGCACTGGACCGAAACACAGGCATTGTTTTGCCACGCGTTCTGGTGTGGGCTATCGCACTGTGGGCAGGGGGCGTGGCTGCAGTGCCATTGACTTCAATGCACTGCCAAGTCCCCTCCCGCCCCTGAATGCAGGAAGCTGGCCGGGATGTGATACAGTTTATGGTGTGAACAAGCCCTTAGTACCTGCTCACACCTGAGCATCATGGTGATACACATTCCTGGGCATGTTTCCGTGGAGGGAGAGAGGCTTTAGGAATCAGTTTAAGAGCTAACTGGTTAAGAGCATTGGGCACGTATTACTTTCTTTAAACACCTAGACAAAAAAATTAGCACTTAACCCTTGCAGTGCTGTGGTAACCTCACTGCAAGGGTTAAAGGAGAACTATGAGGCGAGTGCTTTTCACTCACCTCATAGTTCTAGCCGACCTGTGACAATGAGACTGTCACAGGTCGACTCAGTAGATCGGGAGGTGAGCGAAGACATACCGGCGTTCGCTCACTTCTCGATCCTGTCACGGCTCTCTGCCATGACAGGGGAGGGGCTGGATCCCCCCCTCCCTGCTCCGATCCGCCAGCGCTGACTGGCGGAACAGACGGGGGAGGGGCGGGTACAGCTGGCTCTGCCTCTAGATAGGCAGAGTCAGCTGTCAGTCACGCAGCTGGGCGGATCCAGGCACAATTCGGGATCCGCTTCAGCTGCGGCGTCTCAGTATACCGCGAGCTACAGCTCGCGGTATACTGAGCCTAGGGTTACGGGAGGACGCTAGTTTGTGTCCTCCCGTTACCCGGAGAACTATAGGGAAAAGCCTTAACCCCATAGTTCTCCTTTAAGAACATTTTTTCCCAGAGTTCTGCTTTAATAAAAATGCAATTGTAAATCAAGGGAGAGAATGTTTAATAACTATAGGAGCTGAAAAATATTTTATCATGAGCATTTGCTTGTTCAATGTCCTCTTCCCCTTTGATCTTGAATGACTAGTAGAAGAGGACAAGAGGTACAAAAGAGGCGGACCAGATGACAGCACCCACTAACCGCTAATCCACTTCCTCTTTGAATATCTAAAAAGGGAAACAAAAGTGCAGGAACGTAGG